TGTTAATTGTTCTTCAGAAGGTAAACACTATAATTATAGCTACTAGTATTTCATTTTTTATTCTCTTTTTCTGTCTCCCCTTTTTTTCTTTCCTATGAAGGCATGTTTGATTCTAATGACTGATCTCACACAATGACAATTTGTTTCTTTCCTATTACTCTCTTGATGTATCCACCAACAAAGTAACAAATTCTTGAATTTTCATTTCTCCTAAATTCAAAGATAAGTAGGCAGATAAGGGTTTTTCTCTTATCTTTCTACTGTCACAGCTTAGCTGCTTACTTGTTAGTATTTTTATTTTATTTACAATCCTCCATATTTCTGAACCAGAATTTGCATAAAATCTGCTTTATATGCCAAAGTGACTATCACTGTTGAAACATCAGATTACTTTTCTGTATGTACTATTTCATTTTAGGTTTTCATATCAAATAGCTTCTTTAAGTTGGAACTTTTGAGATGAGGAATTATGATATGCCATTCTATTCAAGCATGTTTATCTTAATTTTTATACTCAAACTTTTCAACCATTGTACTGCCTTCTCTAAGTGTTTGTCATACACTGTAACCTATTTGGTATTTTGTACCAAACTCTTTATTCAATCCATCCTTAGTTAATGAATGCTGAATGTTTCTTTATAAGGAAATTGCTAATGTTGTCATAGGGGTAAATTGTTCTCATTCTGCTTTCCATCAACAGGGGGATATAACTCATATCAAATAATATTCTCCAGTTTATTATGTCTTTGTCTTGTTTGTCTCTTCTACTGGTGTACTTTTCAGTACTACCAAACCAAGGATTGATGACTGCATGGTACAATGACTGAAACATGCTGGTCTGAATAGAAAGGCATAGAATAATAAATAGCCTTTATTTTGAAATACCAGCAATGACAGTTCATATTCTATTTGCAATATAATAGAAAGTATTTCAATATTTTTCAGATTCTCTATTCAACTTAAATTATTTCCTGTGATCCCTTTAAATAAAGGTAAGCTTCTTTTTTCCCCCACAAAAATGAATAATACTTCTTTTTTATTGTCTTTAAAAGATTTTTTTTTTTTTTTTTCATCTCATTGTTATCTCATGTTTCATCTTTGATTTCATTTGTAAATATGCAGTTATCTTCCTATTCTGCAGTATTTTAAATCTATTTCTGAATTCTCTTATTTAATGTATTTCTTCAGGTTAATAATTTTCTCATAATCTCTCTTTACAAATCAAAAGAAAAAACTTTATATCATTAATGTACAGTTCATTAAAATATTACTCAATTTTAAAATCTGAAGCAATGAAATTGTGGAAAACCACAATTTATGAAGAAGTTGATATGATACATATTAATTTCATGTCTCTGTTTTGATTCTATTTGTATGATAATTGCTAAACTTGTAATAACTTCAATTACTTACTATTATGTTTTAGTGTAACTAATGCCATCAACTTTTGTTCACATCCTGCTAAAGTTTTGTATATCTCCAGGTCAATTACTATCTCTTTTTTTTTCTTTTCCAAATGGCTAAATAAGCAAGCTTATGAAATAAGCGTGATCAATTTAACAGGACTTTTATGACAACAACCTATTTACAATATAAACTGAATCATTTAAGGGTTTCAAATATGAACAGTAAAATGGATTTTTACAAAAAAAATTTTCTTCCTTTGTATTTTGAGTTTACAATATTACACATTATACTGTCTGTTTATTTCACTTAATATGGCACCGGATTGAGAAAGCTTTTAGAGGAGACACACTTTCATCTCAAATTCCACATTTTTGTAATGGAAATCCCAAAATAATTTGTAATAATTGTAAAATTAATTTTTCCATTTAAATAATAATAATAATAATAATAATAATAAAAAACCCTGTCAGTGACAATTTACTGTTCTTTATTTTGTGTGTGAGGTGCAGTCTTACAAACATCTATAAAACTGTTAGATACACTTGTAGGTCCCACTAGCTTTTCCCCTGTTCTCTCTTGCAACTGAGAATTAAGACAATCAATTTGGCATCCAAAAAAGTTTTTTTTTTTTGTTTTGTTAATGCAAATTTTCAAAATTAAATATTTTTGTTTAATTTCATGTACTAATTTTGTTTCTTTTGCAGACAAACCTATTGAAGTTTGGGAAGATTATGTAAATAGAGATTTTTTTCAATCTAACATAACAAGTACATTACTTTAAAAACTGCTCTGAACTAACAGGTAATCAGGGGAGGTAATCTTTTACTTTGCCCGCCTCTCTTCTGGAATTCATTAAACGAAAGGAAACAAAAATCCTAAAACAAACCACTAGGCTTTATTTTTCTTATTTCTTTTTTCCCCTCCACTTTTTTTTTTTGTCCCTCTTATTGTGTCCACTTTCTGCCACATTTGTACATTGTGATGTCATTCTTGCCACAACTCCGTATGTTGTCCAAGGCACCAGTCATCAAAGATGTGCTGGTCAGTCCACATCTGCCATGTTTGATATTTTGCTCTTGGTTCATTGTTAGTTGTAACTGTTTGCCGTTTGACCACACCAACCAAATGCAAGATTTTTATTTCTTTTTTTAATCTTTGTTGTTTTACTCCCTTGCTTTTTTTTGCAACACTTCATTCTCTTGTATAACAAGCATTTTTCATGAAACAATCTCCACATTCTCTCTTCTCACAGATTACCTTTTGTAGTCCAGCTGCTTTGCTCTTGAATTAACTTTCAAGATCTTTTTTTTTTTTTCTTAACTGTTTTATGTAACTGATGTGTCGGTAATATAATGGTCATTGGTAAGAAAAGTAAAATTGGGGAGCGTGATGTATTCACTGATACTCTTGGGAAAGGCATGAATCTATCTTTTCTCCCTCTAGCTATGGGTTAAATAGCAGAGCAAACATTGCTCTCTAACCTTGAGTAGTAGCCAGTCAAGGAGAAGGAAAATGTAATTCAAACCAGTAGAACGTACACACATTATTGTATTAAAGCATGTTTAGACCATTCAATACAACTAACCCTCCTGGAGTGGAGTGGGTGTCAAGAGAGTGTATCTAGATTTGTGCACACCATTCCTTGAAAGGAATTCTCATTATTTATATATATATATATATATTTTATATTACTTTATAGTGTACCAGGATGGGGAAATGGAAAAATTTTAAATATAGAAAATTTAATGCATTTATGTTTTGGGTAATTCTATCATGTGACCTGTCTCCAAAGATAAACACGCAGATTTTTTTCTCTCTTCAAATTGTCTATCAGAATATTAAATTAAACTGTAAAGAAATTTCTAAGCAGGGTGTTAGTTTTTAAAACTCCTTCCTAAATTCTTCATTGAATCCATGTTCTTTCTATATTGTTGCATTATGTATAATATTAAATGATTTTGGAATTTTTTTTACATTTGAAATATTTGTCCTCCTAATGCAAACTAATTCCTACTAACAGCTTAATTGTTTTACATTTTGATTTACCCATATCCACATTTGTACCTGGAAGTTTAGATCGGTTAGTAGCAGACATATTGTCAAGAATTCAAGGAGCTTTCCAAATTTTCTTCTGACAACCCATTTATGTTTATGATGTTACCACATTCTACAGCCAACATTTGGCAACAACACCAAGAACATTGTCATTTGTATTTGTCGGTTTTAAGATTTTGAACAATAAAATAAAGGACTTCTTTTTTTTTTTTTTTTTTTTTTTTTTTAACATATTAAAATATTTTATGCTTCAAAGTTACCATCAAATTAATGGCTGATGGAGGCTTGATTAAACTACTTAGGACCTTTTATATTCCTGGAGTCAAGTGGACCTAATTAGTTTTTCTTTCTCAGTTTCTTTCTATATTTGTTTGCATTTTACTTCTCTTGTCTATTTACTCCTATTCTCTGAGCAAAATATTTAACAAGTAAAAAACAGCTTTTCTACTGCAGAAAACTCATATAACATGAAGGAGTTATCAGAAGAAAAATTTGAAATGTTAATGACTCTTCTCAGTTCTAACCCATGTTGTTAACTTATATTTCTAAAATCCTGGTCTAATCATCTGTATCAATCTAATATCTGTAAAATCTTCACTTCCTTTGTGAGATAACTGTTTTCATTTTATTTTATGAGAATTTCTCATTCTGGGCAGGGAGAGCTTTTCTTATATTTGTAACAAAGAAGTATTGTGGATGTGATCCTTTTGGCTGACTAAAGACCTGCATGGGCTTCTTGGGTTTAGTGCACAATTATTCTGCTGGATGGGATTATAACATTTTGTGCATTGCAATTTTCATAGATTTTAATTGTTTTCTTCCAATGTGAAGAGTGTCTTCAGATGAGTGGAGAACATAGTTGAAATATTAGGAAAATATGAAATGCTAACAAAGATTATTGTCCAAACAATTTTGATGAACAAACTTTTTATTTTGCAGACAGATTATTATTAGAGAGTATATTCATTTTAATTTTTTTTTTTTTTTTTTTTTTTTTTAATCCAGTAGCAATGATTATACTTTTTATGGGAAACAAATAGACCTTTTTCTTTTTCCTTTGTCTATTTGAGGATTTCTTTTCACTTAGTTAACTTGTTGTTTTGATGTTCATGTCAGATCTATTTCTACAGAAGAAAAGGAACTTTGTAGATAGAATTCTCTTGTTGCAATTCTATTGACATTTGAATACAATAACTCATTTTAGATTATTTTTTTTTATATATATTGCAATTTTGAATATTTGTAATAACTGCTTTCAATACAGCTATTAACATTTGATAAACATAAGATCCAATTACTAATCTTATTTCTACACATGAAATGAATAAAATAAGAAATTCTAATGACTAATATATTTGGTATTTGTATTTGAAAATCTAACTAAACTTAGCATCCTTGTAATTTGATCATTTATTTGGGCCACTCTCTTCATTTCTGATACAAATCATCATAGAATGACAATTGAATGTTTTTTTGTATTCTTGTAATTATGATGATGTCTTTTGGGAAACAAATTAATCTTTGTGTTTGTCTTTCAGATTTACTCAGAATCTGTCTGTATTCAGGAGAGATGTTAACGACAGTCTGAAGACCCCCAGCAACAATTTATCCCAGCTTCTTCAGGTTCCCTGGATATGATGAGCTATACGTAAGCTCTTTTTGCTGATACACTGTCACTGGTGGAAGAACTGAATGCAGAAAGGCTGCCTCCATTTGCCCTTCAAGGGTGGGTGGGTGTCTGGCTGTTAATTTCTGTTGCTACTCCTGCTGCTGAGGCTGCTGACGATGATGATGATAACACTGTCTGTCTGTGGTATGACATGATGATGATGACAGTGACATTTGTGACTGGCAGAAAAGAATAAGCTAAAACCTCCCACATAAAAGCCTGGGCTTGCTGTGACTGGTCAAGATGAACCATGGGGGGGTGTATGTGTTTTTTTACTGTGGACAGAATAAGGTACACAAGGCTCAACAAGAGTAATCGTAGCAGTCAACAAACACATGATCAGCACAGCTGCTTTTGTTAGTTGCAAGTTTTTTTTTTTTTTTTTAATTACAAAAAAAATATAAAATAAAAAAAAATAAAATCTTTTGGGAAGTAAAAAGATTAAAGGAAAAAATGGGAGGAAAAAAGTTGCCTGTTTTTATTAAGACTTGTGAGTTTCTCTAAATCCCTCTTTGTCACATGACATTTAATCATGTGGACAGGAGGAAGGGTCAGGTAAGATTTTTTTTTTTTTTTTTTTTTTTTTAAGGTTTGGGGATCTTTGCATGGCTATGGGCTAGTCTTGAGTTTTGTTTTGCTTTTTGCATTTTCTTTGTTTTAGTGATGGTAGCAACATATTTAGGTTTATTTCCTCCACTGTATTTAATCAGAAAATTTTAGTTTCTTTCAAATGTGAATGTCACTAAAAACAAAACAAAAAAACATACACACACAATACTGCCATCAGGGTTCCAAATTCTTCTATTTTGTTTTTCTTCTATGCACCAAATCTTGTTTTCTTAATTTTGTCTCTTTCCTTTTTCTCATGTCATTCTCTGCTCAACTAATTTTTGCTGAGTGAGTTAATCTCATTTGTATCCTGAACTTCTTAGTAGCTTGATCATATTCATTTTTTATGACTTGCTTATTTGTTCACATCAATATAAGTGAACTATATTAATAGCATTTATGTGATTCTTAATTCAATTAACATTTATTTAACTCAATTTCTTCAGAAAATGGTGATCTCAACTTTTGTTCTCAATCCCCATTGTTGTTTTTTTTTTTTTTTTTTTTTTTGAGTTGTTTAAAATAATCAATAAAAACAAATGTCCAAAACAGATGTCATCTTTCTCATATCAAAATACAACTTGTTGCCCCCCACCTTAATATTTTGCTCTTTGTTTTTTTTTTTATCTATTAAGTTTTTGTCCTCCACTATGTTTACTGAAGACATAGGTTAGTATCTACCATCAGTTGTATTTGTCTCTGCATTTTATTGGTGACTAGTCATCAGAGGGATTTTGTTTTCCTTTTCCAGGAAGTAATTATTACCCTTTGCTTATAAAAGTAATTCACTTGCTTTGTGCTTATTTCCTCAATTGTTGTCACTGAAAAAAAAAACCCAGAATAACTCTAGCCCCTCTCCCATCCAATATCCTACCAAGCTTCTTGGAATTCCTTACTTTTCTTATGAAATAAGATGCTATCAATTAATCTTGACCAAATTTTTGTTTTAATGGGAATTGAGCAGTAATCTTTGACTTTAGGTTAATGATACTCTTTGATCTTTTAAACAAAATTATTTCCATTAACTTGCCTAGTTTCAAGTATGTTTTCTGCTTTTTCAGTCACTATTTACTTGGGGAGACATTTCAAGTTAAACTAAATGCATCTTTCTACTTTAATTAGTTATTCCAGTGTGAGAATTTTTCAGCTTTAAACAGTTTACTTTTCATTTCTAAGTAACCTACAGTCTGCAAATCATTTGATTCTCATTCTCTCTCTCTCAGCATGTTTCATAGTCTGGGGTATTTGATTAGAGGGAAAGGTTTGTCTGTCTTTCTCTCAATCTGACTTTTCGTAGGCTCCATTTCAAACCAAAAAAAAAAAAATGAAAAATTATTTTCTTCAAAGACTTGTTTCATATTCTGGAAATAAAATATCTATAATTCATTCAAGTCTGACAAATGTAAATTTCTATCGTGTAAAGTTAAAACTTATTGTTGACTACATTCCACATGTGTCCAGGCTGGCAACCATCAACTTTGAAATGCTGTCACTTTGTCATTGAGTTGTCAGATGTGCTGCTGGTCAGTTTGGTCATAATTGGGCAGCTGGCCAACCATCAGTTGACTTCTTATCAAAGCCAAATTTCAGTTTGTCTGAATGTTATTTTTTACTTTTTAAAACCAAAAATAGAATTCATGGTTGGTAGTCTGAAAGGAATGGCAACTTTGTTTAATGAATTTGGAAATTTCTGCAAGAGTTCCATCATACATTATTGTAAATAGTTCCAACCCCATTGATACAGAGCTCTGAACAACCAACCATATCATTTTTTTTTATTACTAATATATATATATATATATATATATATGAGAAAAGAGAGCATCTAGTAAACTCTTATTTTGATTGAATGAAACCATAATCACTGTAGATAAATTTGTTTGAATTATAAAATCTGGCTACGGCTGTGCATGCTCTACAAACTGAAAAAAAAATCCTTTGTTTCTGCAGTTGATCAAACCAGCACATGAGAATAGATTTTTTTTTCTTAATTGCTGCTAAAGTTATTCATTTCAAAGCTAGCCTGAACTGAACTATTAGTTTTTCATCTTTTTCCTGCTTAACTATACCCAACTCTGTCCACCTCCAATATACAATTTCACAGACTGAGGCTTTTTTTTTTTGTTTTGTTTTTTTTTTACTAACAATGATTTAAAAAAAATCTTGACTGTTGTCCATACATTCCAGTTGAGACTTAAATTATAAAGACTTTAGCCATGAAGAAATATTTTCTGAATTCTGTATGCTTGTTTTTGAAAGTTACTTTTTCATAAGAGGTGCATGAGAATGAATTTAAACAGGTTGGGCCAGTATTGAAAAACTTAAATAAGTTGGTCAGCCTCAGTTTGTCTTTTGCTATTTTGAAGGTGGTGTTTTGTAAACAGATAAATTCTTTTGTTCAAGTCTTAAGTTCTAATTTTTGTCTCTACCCTGTAACTCCCCTGCCCAGTCCCAGTGCTTCCAACTGCTGCTGCTGCTGCCATTGCCAGTCATTTTATTATGCACCCTCATCTCAGTGTGAGTAGTCGTTTAATAAAAAAATAAACTCTTGTTTAACAAATGAAAAATTTCTACTATTTTGTTGTGTTATCTCTTTAACATCCTAAATTCTGTTTAGAATTTTTCCTTTTAAAAGAAAAATGTTGCCTTACATGTTTACTGCCAATTCTATTCTCTCAAAATGATACACATAAATGGTATGAAGAGAGGGGCCAGTAACAGTTTCTGGTTCTAACTCCATGAAAATTGCCAATTTAGGGATAAAATTATTTTTCTGCTTACCAAAATGAAAATGTATTCATTATGGCTCAGTACTTAAATTCCTCCTTGGAGAATGGAGGAGTTTCAGCTTTGATGTCTAATTTGTACAAGGAGAAAAAACAAAAAACAAAAAAAAAAAACAAACCCACATGGCAGTGGGTTAATCATTTAGCAAAATACAACTTATTCTATTTCTTTGTCAGCAGTGTTTTGAGGGAAAGGTTAATTTTAAAATTTTTTTTTTTTTTTCCTTTTACTTCATTGATATTTCTGAATTCATATTAACCAATCATCTTTTATTCCATACCATCTGCATGTTCTTCATTGAGAATCATCAGCAATTTGGTACCTGAAAACAAATGAAAGTGGGTATCTTATGCCCCACCACCTCCTCCTCCACACACAATTTAGTAAATGCCTCCACCGCCTTCCACCAATCAATAATCAAATTACTTTGAACAAAATCATGAATCCTCAAATATCATCCTAAATAAGACTGACCTGGAAGATCATAAAGATTTTAATTAAGTTATAAGCTAGAAATGCTTCCTAGTTTTTTTATTCCATGATATCTGTGTATAAAGTTATTGATTAGATCCACAATTTAGAATGGTAGGGAAGGATTAATATTGCATCTGGTTTCATCATGTATTCAGGTAACAATTTTCCTATCATCATTCATATTTCTATAATTAACCAAACTTTTTTTTTTTTTTAGTGCCCATCTATATATTTTTCCTGCCATTATTTCCAAATGTTCTCTGATCATCTTATATCAGTGCTTAACTAATTTTGCATTTACAATACTTTAAAAGATTCAAAGTTCATGACCATCTTTCTTATATGTAAGTGAAGGTGTCGTTTTAGAAAGTCACACCCACAAAACCACTCTTTTCTATCTGTTTAAAAATTACATGAATATCTTGGATTCTGAAACTTTATAGTTAGCTTAAATTCTAGTATTTGTAAAAGAAAAAAAAACAAAAAAACAATGATCTGAGGACCTTAAAAACTGTAAATATCACTTTAGGCTGTAGCTTATTTTGCATATGAAAAACTGGTTATCATAATAAACAAAACTACTGCATGTAATAAATCTTTCCTGTGAACAACCTCAGCCATGGACACTTAGCACTACTAAAATAAAGCCTTGATGTGTTTTTTAACAAAAAGCCACTTAAATCAAAACTATAAGAAATGTGAAAAGGGTAATTCAGTCAATTTGTCAATTTCCTGGCTCTTCTAAGAAATGGTCTCTGATATTTCTCCACCTTTTTATCATCCAATCAAGGATTGTAAAGAATGGAAACCAGCATATGGAAGCTACTTCATTTCCATTTAATTTACCTGTGCAGTTCTTGGTTTAATATTACCAAAAAAAAAAAAAAAATGTTACATGTCCTGAAATACTGATTTACATTCAAGGCTTTTATTTTTCAGCCTTGAATTTATCACATTCCATTACCTGACCAAAGGATAAAAAAACAAAAAAACAAGTCAGTAGCTTGTGACTGAATCGCATCCATTTTTCATACTTTTTGTAGCCTCAGGTTTCTAAAATAAGCTGTTATTTCAGGTAAATATTATTTATATAGAAATT